GTGTGTGTGTGTGTGTGTGTGTGTGTGTGTGTGTGTGTGTGTGTGTGTGTGTGTGTGTGTGTGTGTGTAAATTAAATTCAGTTTCCTTGGTTCTTGTTTATAGGAAGGAGACCAACTTTCTCGTAGTGACCTTCAGAAAGTGAACTGGTAGGTTAAGGATAAAGTTTAGACTGATTTCCTTGGTTAAGATCAGATAACTGTTATTTTGAGACACTGTTTGTGTGTATACACACACAATCAACTTTGCAAAAATCCATATACAAAAAAGCAAGACAATAGTTTAGTTAAGTTCTAACTGGGTGTTATAAATATAAGAAATGCTTCCCGTTTCCTAGTCAGTTCAGCCAAGACTGCTTTCAAACCATTTATACCATTGAACATCCCTGAAAATTTGTGACCTAGTAAACCAGTGAATCACAGTGGAGTCTCAATTGACCATGTAGGTCTGTATTTGAATTTACACTGAACCAATAGCCAAACAATGAGCAATCATCTCCAGCTATCAAGTACACAAACAAGTGTTAGTCACTTCGCCTGTATACACGGTCCCTTGACACATTTCATTCCTCTGCTTCTATTAGATTAGTTCTCCAAGTCTCTACTCACAATAATGTATTCTAACATAAAACCCCTCACTATGTAATCATGGTAAGAAAGGGAATACAGTGGTGCTGTACTCTTCACTTGTATGTTTAAGGTTCTGGCAAATGTAATAAATAGTCTTCATTTTCAATTCTAAGAAAGTGTGAATTGATTTTAAATCCTGCTTTTTGAGCCAACATTTATCACAGGACAATACTTGCTGTGCCAATTAGATGGTGGCAGCTGATTATTTCAGTCAATATGAGATTTCATAATCCATTCCTGTCACAGGCACCAACCCTTCATTCAGTCATAAAAATGTGGCTTGCTAGAAAAGGAAAAATCAAAAGTCTAAAGGCACAAAGTCGCATAGCTGCTCTAGTAGGAGTTTGTAAACAGAGAATTGGTTGAATTTAGGAAATCCAAATCTAGGAGAATAAAAAGGCATCTGAAGCAGGCTTTTATCTAGCCAGCTTAAAGACCCAAAAGGTTTTGAGGTCTACAAAGTATGCACTAAAATATCATACTTCAAAAAGCAATAAGGCAAATAGTATAATCATTATTTCAAAAAAGTTACAATGGTAGTGTAGGCATAAACAGTATAATTTAGTTACAATGTGTGGTACTGTTTCTATTACATAGCCATATTAACCATTTCCTTCTTACTTAATTAGAGATTCAGCTGGGACTCCAGATGAACACAAAACCATTCTTGTACCACCAACAGTTGGCAACAGTTCCTCCATAACAGTGATTTTTACTCTGCTGCTTAAATCACTCTCATACTCTGAACAGTCCACAATTCTAAGTTAGGAGCTTAAACACTGTCATACTTGTGAAGAGCTTCTTCTAACTTTTGCGTCACTTTTTGGAAAAAAAGTATTTGCTGTTTTAAGAAATGTTGCATTTGTGACTTAAAGTCCCTCACTCGAATTTGGTGGAAATGATGAATTTCTGCCAAGGTGGCAAAAGAAATAATGTTACAGCGATCTTGAATACCATCAGCCTTCTGGACCTCCATCTTCCCTTCTTCCACATGCCGCTTACTCTCCTTTACTTTGGTAAGGGCTCCTGTATAAAGAACAAAAAAGGAATATTGAACTAAATAGATTTAACTATAGATTTAGCTACTGTACTTTACCAATATATTCAAATTCTCTGGCATACTAAAAGTCCTTTCTCTCTCTCATTCTCTCTGTTACACAGCTGCAGATGTGTACTTAAATCTGCAATGCAGCTATTACCTACCTCTCAGGCATTTCACACGTCTAGAAACTTGTATTTAGGATAACTTAAAACTCATTAGCTGTAAAGATAAGCAGCCGTAAACACAGTAATATCTGTGCCA